TCTTTGCTGGTGGTGTACAATGAGCCCTATAGCCACGACGATGACTTAGAGTGGGTATTCTTCTTCGTCGGCCGGCTGAGAAGTGAGCCGCAGACGTTCGTAGTGCAAAGTTTCCTCCTAAATTGTTGGATTTGAATCAAAGACCTCCACGATAGTTGTGGTCACCCGTTTAGGGTTACGGTCTAGGGTTTAGGGTTTAGGGTTTAGGGTTTAGGGTTTAGGGTCTAGGGTTTAGGGTTTAGGGTTTAGGGTAACCCGTGTTCATCATGCCGGAGATGCGGTTTTTGAGTGATCCGTAAGCGGCTCTTGCTTAAAGCTGTGCCGCCGGTGCTGATTTTTTCCCGTCTCTGCCTTGAATGTTTAGGGTTTAGGGTTTAGGGTTTAGGGTTTAATGTTGCACCCGCAATATTCTAGGGGGACGCTATTATGAAAAGTTTTCCGGCTATTCAGGATCTGGACCCTTTGTTTTGGGGGTCCGCTATAATGAAAAGATTTCGGGCCGTGACTGTTTTTTTGAGGGTGTCAGGAAGGCATAAGCTTCTCGAGAAAGAGAGATACTTGAAGCCTGAAGCCTCGACCTGTCCAGGATCTCCGACAATCTTCTTTTTTCAGGGCGCCTTTTCTTTATAAATTCCTTACTTAAAACTAGATGATTCCATAGGCGAATCATATCCGGAAAGGGGGTACCTTACGGAGGCCTCCGGACACACTTTAATACCTTTGTTTGGGGGCCCGCTATAATGCAAGTCTCCCGGGGCCAGGGGCTCAGTCCTTCGGTTTTCAGGAAGGCATAAGCTTTCTCGAGAAGGAGGGATACTTGAAGCCCTCCTCGACCTGCCCAGGATCTCCGACAATCTTCTTTTTTCAGGGCGCCTTTTCTTTATAAATTCCTTACTTAAAACTAGATGATTCCATAGGCGAATCATATCCGGAAAGGGGGTACCTTACGGAGGCCTCCGGACACACTTTTAATACCTTTGTTTGGGGGCCCGCTATAATGCAAGTCTCCCGGGGCCAGGGGCTCAGTCCTCGGTTTTCAGGAAGGCATAAGCTTTCTCGAGAAGAAGGGATACTTGAAGCCTGAAGCCTCGACCTTTCCAGGGTCGCGGGGTAGCTTAGGGAGGCTCCGGACCCCCCCCCCCCCCACTGTTTGGGGTCTTTTTAATTCAGGCTCGCGACTGTTGAGGGGGGGGGGGGGTAACTTATTAAAGCAGGTCCAACATTAGGGTTTAGGGTTCGGTTGCGAGGTAGGGGGCGGACTGTCACGACTTCCTGCCACAGCTCGCTGAAGGGGGCATTGGTGCAACTAAGCCGGTAGCCGTAGTATAATACGTGCGCCAATTCTCTCTGTGGATCTCTTAGAATAAGTGTAACCTTTCTCTTTTGGTTCGCTTGGCCACATTCAAAGATATAGAATACCAATCCACCTTTCTCTGCTGGTGAGGTTGTCACCACATAGAAGCCTCTTTCTCTGTTGGTGTGAAGACCGTACATGCGACAGTCTAAGGTAAATAAGGTACGCGACAGCAGACAGGACACAGAAAGGATAACAAGGTCGTAAGGGTACCACCTCAGAGTCTGGGGTGGCGGTGTCATGTTAAGGTGTAGGGTCTCCCGCAGATTTCAGGGGAGGGGCTGAGGGAGGATTTCTTGGCTTAGGACTTCGGATTTTTCTGACTTTAGGGTTCGGAGGGGCTCAGAGTTTACAGTGCTGCCTGAACCCGAATTCCTGAACCTTAGACCCTAAACCCTGCGCCCTTTTCAGCCGCGACTCAGCGTGCAGAACTTCCAAGACCCTAAAACCGAAGCCTTTTTGCCCTGTCTTTGCCAGACTTTGGCGCCTCCTTTCCTGGCGGAGGCGCGGTGCAGGGAGGAAGATCGGATTTCTGTTTTAGGAGGTTTAGGGAGTTGAGGGCTTAGGTAATTAGTCTTCGTCGTGTTGAGGCTGTTCAGGCTCCACCACCGCCCCCCGCCCCCCCCCCCGGCAACCCCCTCCCGAATTCAAATCTCCAACTCGAACCACCGCAGCCGGTCAAAACATCCCTCAGAGAGTTTCGGCCACCTGAAGACATTGGACCTTGAGCCCTGCACAAGCTGAGGCCTGCTTGCTTGCGGCTTTACACCCGAGAACCCTAACAATGAGGCTCTACTGACATGAGGGTGAAGGGATTCATGCAGCCCGGCCCCCCGAACTCAGAAACGGACCCATGTCTGACCAGAATGGTCGGTTGGGGCTCAGGGCTCCGGCTGTCGTGCTACAGGGCTTCACGAGCGATCAAAATATGTATGTATGAACCATAGTATATGATGCGGTTGCCTCGCTTTCGCCCATACCCAGTTTAAGGCCCTGGAACATCCCCCACATGTTCTCGTGCCCAGAAGTCGGAAGCCTTCCTTGCTGTACTTGGCACGGCAGGCACCGTTTGTTGGGCTTGCCACTTTGGGGTTTACAGGCCCTAAACCCTAAACCCTAAACCCTAAACCCTAAACCCTAAACCCTAAACCCTAAACCCTAAACCATGCTTGGAGGGAGGGGCCTGGGTGGTGGTGAGGCGGGGGGGGGTTGGGGCAGGAGCATGGCTTTGGGAGTTTCGGATGTTGGGTTCGGGGTTTGTAGGGTTTAGGGTGTATAGGGTGTATAGGGTTCGCGGTTTAAGGTGTGGGGTTTGGGGTTGGGGTGTGGGCTTCATGGCTTGTGCCATTTTGCATTTTGGGGGGGTTTTACCGCTGAGGCGCAGAGCGAAGCCTCAGAAGCACTGCGCCCAGAATTGGGTTGCTGCTAAGACACCGCATTCCAGATGCTCAGCTGCCAGAAAGGGTATAGTAATTTAGTAAGTAGTGTGCTTTCCTTCCGTTTGGTAAGTGAATGCAAGTTCCTAACAACAGCTGCCCCCGCCGCCCCTCCCCCCCCAAACTTGAACCCTCCTTCGGTGTAGTGTGTAGTACATGTACTATACAATCCCAACGGCTTCTCTCCTTGCCCGAAACGCCCCCATAAGACCCTGTAAGCCCCTATAACACTAAACCCTAAACCCTAAGCCCCCAAAAACCCTACAACATGTCAGGCGCTTCCCGCGCCGCAATGCCCACGGACGCGGCCGAGGCCGCCCCCGCGATGCGCAAGGCGCTGGGGAGGCCCAGCTCGGATTAGGGCTTAGGGCTTCGGTTCAGACCCTAAACCCTAAACCCTAAACCCTAGACCCTTAGGGTTGAGGCTGCCAGGGTTCGAGATTCTTCTTTGGGAAACCCTAAGCCCTCAACCTTCTTAACGTGGAGTCTCCAGGATTTGGTGTGCGGCCTTGGTTTTGACCCCTCAAAGACCCTCAAGCCCTCTACGGGTTTGGGGTTTGGGGTTTGGGGTTTAGGGTTTAGGGTTTAGGGTTTAGAACCCTAAGCCCCAAACGCCAAGCCCCCCCCCCATGTTTTAAGAACTTACCGGCCTGTGAGCCGCCTCACGAATATGAGGGGTTTACGATCATAGGGGCCCGTAATATAGAGCTGTAGGATCCCCTTAGAACAAGGACCCCAACTTCAGGGACCAGATGAACCCTAAACAGGTTACCCGGTTTATGGTCCACGGATACGGATTATAGTCGTTAGGCCAGATGTCCCCAATTTTAGGGTTCATTTCGTCCCCAAGGAACCAGGTACCCAAACCCCGAAACCCGAAACCCTAAACCCTAAACCCTAAACCCCCCGAAACCCGAAACCCGAAACCCTAAACACTAAACCGTGTGTATACCCCAAATGTCGTAAGCCCCCGTATCATTGTCAGGCTGCGGCGGCCTGCCGCCCGAGAAGAACTGGGGCTATGGCAGGCCCTGCGCAAGTTTAGGAGCCTAAACCCTAAACCCTAAACCCTAAACCCTAAACCCTAAACCCTAAACCCTAAACCCTACATAGAGTGGAAGGTTTTGAAGTCGGGAAGCTTAGGCAGCTTAGCTGGGAAGCTTAGGACGTCAAGGGTTTAGGAAGTTTAGGAAATTGTTAGAAGTTGAGGAAGGTCAGGAACTTACATAGGCAAATTTTCAGTAGGTGGCTTAGGAAGTTGAGGAAGCTTAGAGCGATCTCTGGCGGTGTTTTCTGCTATGTTGGGATCAAGGTTGGGGTTAAGATGGGGCGTAGTTTTGAAACCCGATGTCGGAGAAGAGAGGCTTGAATGGGAGAACCCTCTAGGACCAGGCTCATCGAGGCTTCCGAGTGTCAGGACCCACAACAATCTGACCGATGCCTCTTTGAATAGATATCAGACAAAAGCGACCCAGAATGCCCGGTATATGATTAAACAGATGGTCCACGGCATTGCCCATCAAGCCCCTCAATCCTGCGATCTCCTGACCTGCCCTAAACCCCTAAACCCTAAACCCTAAACTTTTAAGCCCTAAGCCCTCAACCCCTGAAGCCTAAACCTTGCACAGGTGGCGTGTTCAGGTGGCAGAGGCCCTGCAGCAAATGCCCGACAGATGGCAGGCCACTCTCAAACGAACACCCCAGATGTTGTTTGGGGTTTAGGGTTTAGGGTTTAGGGTTTAGGGTTTAGGGTTTAGGGTTTAGGGTTTAGGGTTTAGGGTTTAGTAGTTTAGGGTTTCGGGTTTCGGGGTTAGTGTCATCCTGTTCTGCGCTAAGCTACTTTCATCCCGGTTCGGCTCGTTGGGGTTTAGGTCTTAAGTGTTTGGGTTTATTTGGGTAAAACGTGTGGATCTTTTTCCCCGTAAACTTCATTAGGTATCGGCATCACCATGCTCGCGGGACGCCCGTTGTTGCAGTGGAGGGGGCGGGGGGGCTTTGGCATTGCCTTCGAGACCAAACGCATGAAAATGGGATCATGTGCCAAATGTTACCACAATCCATTCCAGGGTGTGTGTGGCCCCAAACCCTAAACCCTAAACCCGTAAACCCTGAACCCTAAACCCTAAAGCCTAAAGCCTAAACCCAATATATACCCTAAACTTAGGGTTCACTTCGGGTTCTGCAGCTCAAGTTCCGAAACTGCTCGGCAGATGTTGGTGGACTTCCGCCGGCGGGCTCTCGCCGTCGTGGTGCATGAGATGCAGAGGCAGTTGGAAGGGGAAACCCCTAGACCCTAAACCCCTGAACCCCTAAACCCCTAAAACCCAAACCCAAAACCCCTACACCCCTAAACGCCCAAACCCCAAACCCCAAACCCCAAAACCCCAAAACCCCAAAACCCCAAAACCCCAAAACCCCAAAACCCCAAAACCCCAAAACCCCAAAACCCCAAAACCCCAAAACCCCAAAACCCCAAAACCCCAAAACCCCAAAACCCCAAAACCCCAAAACCCCAAAAACCCAAAACCCCAAAACCCCAAAACCCCAAAACCCCAAAACCCCAAAACCCCAAAACCCCAAAACCCCAAAACCCCAAAACCCCAAAACCCCCAAAACCCCAAAAACCCCAAAACCCCCAAAACCCCAAAAACCCCCAAACCCCAAAAAACCCCAAAACCCAACTGATCCGGAGTTCCGCTTTGCCATTGTGGCAATCCCCAACCCGTGCAGCAAGAGGCACTAGAATGAAGGGGTATATGCAGGAGGGACCTCTAGAAGGGACTCTCAATCGTATACATACCTTGTATAGTACCTATACTTTCCTAAGTAGCCCCTAAATAACACCCAAATAACCCCTGAGGTCCCTTAGAACCCTATAAGGGTCCTTCCTTTCCTCAAGAGCTTGGGGGGGGGGGGGGGGGGGGGGTGCCTTGCAGTGCTTACCACCATCTAGACATCCCGCTGTGTTTATCGTTTAGGGTTTAGGGTTTAGGGTTCATGGTTTCGGGATAGGGTTCTTAGGTTTTGGGGTGTGTTGGGCTCTTTCGGGTTTCGGGTTTTTGGGTGTGGGTAGAAGGCTTTAGGGATTTTTGAATTAGGGGCTTTGGCCCTAAACCCTAAACCCTAAACCCTAAACCCTAAACCCTAAACCCTAAACCCTAAACCCTAAACCCTAAACCCTAAACCCTAAACCCTAAACCCTAAACCCTAAACCCTAAACCCTAAACCCCCTAAACCCTAAACCCTAAACCCTAAACCCTAAACCCTAAACCCTAAACCCTAAACCCTAAACCCTAAACCCTAAACCCTAAACCCTAAACCCTACCAAGCCGCAAAAGGCTTCCGGGACTCCTGGGCCAGCTGTTCCAGGCCGGCACGCACCTCGCTGCCCTGCGTGGCTCCGGCCGAGCTTAGGAAGTTTAAAGGGCTCAGTGGTTTAGGGTTTAGGGTTTAGGGTTTAGGGCTTGGGAAGTTTAGAGGTTTAGGGTTTGGGGCTCTGGAAGTTTAGAGGCTTAGGGTTTGGGGTTATTTAGGGTTCAGGGTTTGTGGCTTCGAGGTTTAGGGTTTGGGCTTGTAGGGGTTTAGGTTCTTTAATCCTAAACACTAAACCCTAAACCCTAAACCCTAAACCCTAAACTCTAAAGAACCCATCTTGCAGTAGCCGGAGCTGGCCAGAGGCATGTGGGGACGATAGAGAGGAACAAGGTCAACCCGCTGGTATCTGTCCCCTACCTTCTTAAAGGGGAAGTCTGAAACCCCAAACCCTAAACCCGAAACCCCAAACCCTAAACCCTAAACCCTAAACCCTAAACCCTAAACCCTAAACCCTAACCCCTAAACCCTAAACCCCAAACCCCAAACCCTAAACCCTAAACCCTGGTCCCTTACCTTCTTTGAAGGGTTCTGCAGTATGGGCCCTTGGGTCTTGTAGTGTATATGAGGGGTACAAAATTACCCTAAGCTGGTAGGGCTTGAGAGCTTGGTGATGTTTTGGCTTTTGGGGGGGGGGGGAGGGAGGTCGGGGTTGAGATTTTTAGGGTGTTTGTAAGGCTTGGGGGCGCGATAGCAAACCCGCAAGCCCGTTACAAGCAATCCTGACCCTGGAACGCTGAACCCCCAAGCCGTTCCAAACCCTAATCCCTAGACCCTAAACCCCAAGCCAACCCTAAACCCTAAACCCTAACCCTGAATCCTGGGTTTATAGACCCTGAACTCTAAACCCTGAATTCTAAACCCTAAACCCTAAACCCTAAACCCTAAACCCTAAACCCTAAACCCTAAACCCTAAACCCGAGCCCCAGGCTACGGCGCCCTGGATGGGAGACTGGGCCGGGGTGTGGTGGACATCGTGGACGGCGACATCGACTTGGCGCCCAGGCTTAGGGTTTAGGGTTTAGGGTTTAGGGTTTAGGGTTTAGGGTTTAGGGTTTAGGGTTTAGGGTTTAGGGTTTAGGGTTTAGGGTTTAGGGTTGATTAGGGTTTAGGATTCAGGCTTTAGGGTTTAGGGTTTAGGGTTGATAAGGTTTAGGGTGTGTTGGGAGGCTTTGGTCCTTTTTCGGAGGCAGGGACCCATTTTAGGGAGTTGAGGGTTTTCGGGTTCAGGGCTTAGAGTGCTGGGTTCGGGGTTTATGGTTAGCTCATATATACTCAAATTGGGTATAGCGCAGGGTTTGGGGCTAAACCCTGCAAACTCTACAACCGCTTGCCCAGGAGTTGCTCCTCCCCACACAAGCCTTCGAAGAGGGCCAAGACCTTGCGTTGCTCAAGCGCTTGGGCGCGCAGCTGGAAGGCTCCCTGGGTCCGGGGGTTTAGGGGTTTAGGGTTTATTAGGGGTTTAGGGTGGTTTAATTGGCATGTAGGGGTTGAGGGTTTAGGGCTTTAGGGTGAGTTCAAATACGAGCTTTTACGTTTGGATTTATGGGATTTCACTTGGCACAGGGATCTAAGCCCTGTTCGGGGTCCGAAGACCCGAAATCCCCCCGAAAAGACGGCCACAACACTCTGCGACCCCAGACGCGCTGCCTCCCCTAGAATAAGTTTTTTTGTTGAACCTCTTTCGATGTACCTCATTTTCTATGTGCTTGTCAGTATAGATCCGTGACTTGCCTGGTAAGTACCGCAGAAGCAAGGGACTACCATAATCATGGATTCCCCTACTACCCCCTTTTTACTTCCCCCCCATAATAAAGGCTATTGAGGCAGAATTACGCCGAATTCGGGTTATTTAAGGGAGGAACCGAGGGGGTAGTATAGAGGGGGGTAGTAGGGAAGCCCATGAATAAAGGGTCCACGAAGAGCATCGCGCCTGCTTGTCGCTACCGAGATAGCAGGAGTGGGGATACCTTTCTGCCTTTCGAGAGGGCGGAAGCATGAGGTTTTTTGTAAGCTTCTTGGGCTTACGGGCCCTAAAGTCCTAAATCCTAAACTTCCTAAACCCTAAATACCCTAAACCCTAAGCCTCCCAGACTGTTGCAAAAGCCCTAAACCCTCAACTTCCTCAACCCTACACCTTCCCAAGACCTCTCTCAACCCCTAAACTTCCTAAACCCTAAACTCCTTCAACCCTAAACTCCTTCAACCCTAAACCCTAAACCCTAAACCCTATACCCTATAGAGCCCTTCAAGGCGTCGACATGGCAAACTGGACGGCTGGCAGCTTTCGGGCCGGACTGCCCCTTGGTCTCAGAGGATCCGGAGTTCACGGTACAAACTGAGGGGTTTAGGGTGTAGGGTTTAGGGTGTAGGGTTTAGGGTTTAGGGTTTAGGGTTCAGGGTTCAGGGTTGAAAAGCCTGCAGAGCCACGGGGTCTTTTCTACCTAACATCAGGGTTTGGGGTCTAGGGCTCACCCCCCCCCCCAACTAAACCCTGAACCCAGTCCTTGAACCCCAAACCTGAAACCCGGTTTAGGGTTTAGGGTTTAGGGTTTAGGGTTTAGGGTTTAGGGTTTAGGGTTTAGGGTTTAGGGTTAACCCTGAAGCCCTCAATCTTGAACCCGTCGCGAACGCCCACCATTCAGGAAGCCGGATGGGAATCAATCCGCCCAGGGAACCATCCTGGGGCATGATTGATAGCGTGGGCTCAGGGTTTAGGGTTCAGGGTTAGGGTTTAGGGTTTAGGGTTTGGGGTTTAGGGTTCAGGGTTGAAGGTTGAAGGTTTAGGGTTTAGGGTTCAGGGATGTTCAGGGTATAAATCAGAGATTAGGTACTGCGGATCCTCAGGACCTTTTTTCCTCTACCTAGGCTTCCTATCTCTAGAAAACGGCACCCCTTTTCCTCCCCTTCCCAGTTTTTGCCCTGAGTTCTCAGTAGGGAATGGGGGAGTGAGGTACCCTACATAATCCCTTAAAGGGGATACATACGGCGATGCAGGGTACCTCATATCCCCCTCTATACCCTTTAAGGGATTGTATAGGGTACCTCCTTCCCTCATGCCCTCTTCCTCCCAACCCTAAACCCTAAACCTTAAACGCTAAAACCCCCTCAAAGCCTAAACCCTATAAACCCTAAACCCTAAACCCTAACTCCTAAACCCCAAACCCTAAACCCAATCTTTGCCAGGTTCTCACGGATGGGTCGCCGGCCCATCCTCCGCAGGCGACCGGGGCTCTGGCGCTGCGGCCTGAGATACTCGCCCCTGGGTTTGTGGAGGGGGCCTTTTGGGAGTTCGAGAGGGGAGAAGGCATGTCTAGGGTCCATGGGGGGCTTATGAAGGTGTCTAACGGGGGTTGTTTATGTGGTTTTTTGCGATCTATAGGCCGTTTCTGGGGCTGTAAGGGCTGCCTGTGGGTTTCGGGCTCTAGAAGGGGGGGGGGTCTCAGGGAGATGTGCGCTTCACCCTTAAACAAGGTTGTAACTGAGCCCCCTTTGTTGGGGTATATGAGGCGATACCCACATGTTGAATGATGGGGGCGCTCTTGCGTTGATCGTAGGACGTTGCTATGTCGGACGGGGCCCATGAACGAAATCTCCTGAACCCTAAACCCTAAACCCTAATCCTAAGCCCTAAGAGCCCTAAGCTTCCAAAAGTGCCGGAATCTGCAAGGATGACGCTGGCGAACTATTATCTGGAGTGCCTAGCTCCCTGCGAACACGAAGGCATTCTGCTTCCGGAGCTGTACCCGCACCTCAGCAAGCATCGTATACAACCTGCCCGATACGAAACCCTGGGAGGCGCCCCTACGCCATATACAGTACAAGCTGAAAACCCTCATGAACCCGCACAAAAGAGGCGGGTTCTGGGCATGTAAGCCTTTGACAAACCCTGTAGAAACCCTACAAACTCGATAAAATCGCTGTACAGAAGCCCTACACACACCCTACCCCAAGCCCGAAACCCTAAACCCCAAACCCTAAACCCTAAACCCTAAACCCTAAACCCTAAACCCTAAACCCTAAACCCTAAACCCTATCAACCCCTGAGGGGTTCTCTGGGCTCAGGCTCTACAAGCGCAGGGACTACGATGGCGCCCTCGCTTGCAATGGCGGATTTGGGTTTCGGGCTTGGTGGACTTTAGGGATTTAGGATTGTAGGGTTGCAGGGTTGTAGGGTTTAGGGTTTAGGGTTTAGGGTTTAGGGTTGTAGGGTTTAGGGCTAGGGTTTATAGGGTTCAGGTTTGTAGGGGTTTTGGGTTGTCGCTTTCATGGCCAGATGGATCGGGTGCAGCTAAAGTGGTGTCCCTGTACATCAATGAAGGCTGCTGAATTTGTGCTCCCGGCTTCTTCTCCTTCATGGCTTGCGGGTAGATACGGGCATAGTACATCCCAGTTGCAGCTCACCCGTGGCTTCGAAGATGCCGCTTAGGGGATGTGGGTTTTGCTTTGCTGGGAAGAGCAACAAGGAAACTCATTCAGGCTGGTTTACCATCATGGGGCCCCTAAAAACCGTAAACCCTCAACCCGAAACCCTAAACCCTAAACCCTATAAACCCTAAACCCTAAACCCTAAACTCCTGGTTCAGGGCTTCGGGGCAGGGAGTGGCCTTAGGGGAGTACCGCTCAGGATTCTGCGCGCTACTGCACGTCTTCGCGGTTCGCGCTGTCTGGCCGGAAGAAGTCGGAGTCAACGACTGGGTGGGGAAGCTTGGCTTTTAGGGTCTAGGGTTTAGGGTTTAGGGTCTAGGGTTTAGGGTTTAGGGTTTAGGGTTTAGAGTTTAGGGTGTTTTGATTCTAAAATTTAGGGTTTAGGCTTCTCTTTTTGGACCCACCCTTTGGCAAGCAACTGAGAGTTTTGCAGGCTTGGCATGCCCAGGTTGAGTGAATGATCTTCCTCAAATCCCGAAACCCCTCAAGCCCGAAACCCCAACCGTTGCAAAATCCATCCCGAAAACCTAAACCCTAACCCGAAACCCTAAACCCTAAACCCTGAACCCTAAACCCTAAACCCTAAACCCTCAACAGCTAGGAACGCCAGCGATGGCGATCTGCGCGAGCTGTGCGCGCCGACCTCCCCAGGCTCAGGTGCAGGGATGAGCCGCCCCCAAAAGAAGGTTTAGGGTTTAGGGTTTAGGGTTTAGGGTTTAGGGTTTAGGGTTGGTTTAGGGTTTAGGGTTTAGGGTTTAGGGTTAGTAGTTTAGGGTTTAGGGTCCCCCCCCCCCCCCCCCCAACAAAACCAGGTAGGCTCTTGGGACATGTTCTATTTTCCCTTGTTGGGTTTAAGAGGATCATATTCAGGGATTTTTTTCAGAGGTTTTTAGGGGCCATCCTAGAGAAGGTTTCTGGTTTAGGGTTTAGGGTCTCGGGTTGAAAAGGTGAGGGTTCAGGGTTTAGGGTTTAGTGTAGAGTTTCGGGTTGAGGGCTTAGGCTTTAGGGTTTAGGCTTAGTAATTTAGGGTTTAGGGTGTGGGAAAATGGAGTTTTAGGTTTCAGGGGTTTAGGGTTTTGGGGATTTGTGCTTACGAGGCTTAAGGGTTTAGACGGGTTTAGACTGTCGAGGGTGCGTGGAGTTTAGGGCCTAGGTCTTTGTAGGTATGTGAGGAACTGGAGTGGGTCAGGACTTTCAAGAGTTCAGAATTTTGGGGGGCTAGAGTCTTCATACTCCCTTTTAGGTCCTTTCCATAGCACGACCAGTGCGAGGGGGATGAATCTGCCCGCATGCTGGTCGAGGTCCATAAAGCTACTCTAATGAAGTCGCAGGGGTCCAGGGCTTAGAGCTTAGGGTCGAAGAGCCGCTCTTGTGAAAGGGACTGTGAGTTCCAGTGACCCGGATACCCGAAACACTACAAAAGCACCACGTAACATAGGGGTCGGAGAAAGTACTTATAATCTTAACGCTACGCGACCCGCCTCGGCCCGGCCCAGCGCATCCGCGTGAGCATGGTGATTCCGCAGCGCCCAAGTCGCTGGACCCCAAGCAATAAGGGTTGGGTTTAGGGTTTAGGGTTCCGGGTTTATGGTTATGGTTTGGGGTTTAGGGTTGAGGGTTAGTTTAGGATTGAGGGCTTAGGGGGTTTAGGGTTTTTTGGGGTTTAGGGTTCAAGAGACGGTTCGGCTTGGATTGATCGTAGGGTTGAGCCAGGCCCCTCAGAAAAAAAGAAAAAAGGGACGGTGGGGGGGGGGGGGGGGTAGAGGGGGGGGGGGGTGTGTGTGAGCAAAACCGGGTCTATTTAGAAGCTGGGGCTTGTGATTTATAATACAGGTCCACATACCTAAATGTAATAAACCTAGAAGAGCACGGCTTCTAAATAGACCCTACGGTCGGATTTCAAAAGGACGTTGGCAGAAATTAATAATTTTAATAATTTTAATAATTTTAATAATTTTAATAATTTTAATAATTTTAATAATTTTAATAATGTTAATATTTTTAATAATCCTGAGAGGCTCCCGGAAAATTAAAATTATTAACAATATTAAAATTATTAAAATTATTAATTTCTGCCCTGAGAGGCTCCCGGAAAATTAAAATTATTAAAATTATTAAAATTATTAAAATTATTAAAAAAATTAATTTCTGCCATGAGAGGCTCCCGGAAAATTTAAATTATTAAAATTATTAAAAATTATTAAAATTATTAAAATTATTAAAATTATTAATTTCTGCCCTGAGAGGCTCCCGGCAAATTAAAATTATTAAAATTATTAAAATTATTAAAATTATTAAATTTATTAAAATTATTAATTTCTGCCCTGAGAGGCTCCCCGAAAATTAAAATTATTAAAATTATTAAAATTATTAAAATTATTAAAATTATTAAAATTATTAAAATTATTAAAATTATTAAAATTATTAAAATTATTAAAATTATTAATTTCTGCCCTGAGAGGCTCCCGGAAAATTAAAATTATTAAAATTATTAAAATTATTAATTTCTGCCCTGGGAGGCTCCCGGAAAATTAAAATTATTAAAATTATTAAAATTATTAAAATTATTAAACTTATTAAAATTATTAAAATTATTATTTTCTGCCCTGAGAGGCTCCCGGAAAATTAAAATTACTAAAATTATCAAAATTATTAAAATTATTAATTTCTGCCCTGAGAGGCTCCCGGAAAATTAAAATTATTAAAATTATTAAAATTATTAAAATTATTAAAATTATTAAAAATATTAATTTCTGCCCTGGGAGGCTCCCGGAAAATTAAAATTATTAAAATTTTTAAAATTATTAAAATTATTAATTTCTGCCCTGAGAGACTCCCGGAAAATTAAAATTATTAAAATTATTAAAATTATTAAAATTATTAAAATTATTAAAATTATTAAAATTATAAAAATTATAAAAATTATTAAAATTATTGAAATTATTGAAATTATTGAAATTTTTAAAATTTTAATTATTAATGGTTTCATAATTTCAAAAATTGTAACAATTTTAATAATTTTAATAATTTTAATAATTTTAATTTTCCGGGAGCCTCTCAGGGCAGAAAATAATAATTTTAATATTGTTAATAATTTTAATAATTTTAATAATTTTAATTTTCCGGGAGCCTCTCAGGGCAGAAATTAATAATTTTAATAATTTTAATAATTTTAATTTTCGGGGAGCCTCTCAGGGCAGAAATTAATAATTTTAATAATTTTAATAATTTTAATAATTTTTAATAATTTTAATAATTTTAATAATTTTAATAATTTTAATTTTCCGGGAGCCTCTCAGGGCAGAAATTAATAATTTTAATAATTTTAATAATTTTAATAATTTTAATAATTTTAATAATTTTAATTTTCCGGGAGCCTCTCAGGGCAGAAATTAATAATAATTTTAATAATTTTAATAATTTTAATTTTCCGGGAGCCTCCCAGGGCAGAAATTAATAATTTTAATAATTTTAATAATTTTAATAATTTTAATAATTTTAATAATTTTAATTTTCCGGGAGCCTCTCAGGGCAGAAATTAATAATTTTAATAATTTTAATAATTTTAATAATTTTAATAATTTTAATAATTTTAATAATTTTAATAATTTTAATAATTTTAATTTTCCGGGAGCCTCTCAGGGCAGAAATTAATAATTTTAATAATTTTAATATTTTTTTAATTTTAATTTTTCTTAATAATTTTAATAATTTTAATAATTTTAATAATTTTAATAATTTTAATAATTTTAATAATTTTAATAATTTTAATTTTCCGGGAGCCTCTCAGGGCAGAAATTAATAATTTTAATAATTTTAATAATTTTAATAATTTTAATAATTTTAATAATTTTAATAATTTTAATAAGTTTTAATAATTTTAATAATTTTAATAATTTTAAATGTACTTTTTTAGCTTAGAATCAGTAAAAACTGAAAATTTGCTCAAAGAATCCTACAACATAGTAAAAAATCGCAAAAATTGACCAATTTTGGGGGCCCGTGTAGTATAAAATCAAATAAAAAACGGTACGTGAGAATGCCTTCAGATGCAGGAGAAAAGAGTACCCAGAAACCGCGGTATCATCTCCAAAAAATGACAAAAACACACCGTACTCTCCTACGCGATCCTACGCGCTATCCTGCATTCCTTCCTCTTTGTCTTTGGTTCGGAAAAGAAAGGAACGGCTACCAGCCTCCCTCCCGACTTACATCTTTACATTCTCTTGTTTCGTCCTGCTCACCCGGAAAGAAGGTCTGCCTCCAGTCTTTCCTCGCCTCCCTGCTCACTATTATGAGTTCCTTTCACTTCTCTTCTGTTGCTTACATTCTTCTCAAAAGTGTGAAAGGTGCGGGGGACATCCCTTTCACTTTGTCTCTTCTGGGGAAATTCCCAATTGCAGGAGGCTCTCTCTCCTTGTCTTTGTTCTGTGTTCATATAGGGAATGAAGGTAGAAGATGAATAAATAAAACAGAATCAAGTCTATAATGTCCTCTATCCGTGTCTCTTGTGATTTCTTCAATTCCTATCTCTGCAGATTCTTCAAAATGGAAGGCGGACTTCTTCCTCCAACCAAAAGCGACCTTCTCAAAAAGAAGACAAGAGACGAACATCAATCACCGGAACCTGACTCCTAATCTCCTGTGTTTCCTTGCCTCTTTCCTCGCTATTCTCTCTTCCTTTCTTCTCTCCCGGTGCTTACATTCCCATCAACATGAAAATTGAGGGGGCAGCGCATCCCTTTCCTTTCCCCATCAAAGAAAGGCTGCCTTCCTATCCGCGTATGTTCTTCCCTCTTCCTTCCGAAAAGACTATAAGAGGTAGGGGTAAACAGAATGAAAGAGGAGTCTCCTGTTGCTTTCCGACTACCTTCTCACCACAAAAAGGAACCTTCCCACTCTTCCCTACTTTCTTTCTTTTATCTTTTTGCACTTTACGTTTCCCGCTGAGAAAATGAGACGTTTCCCACTGAGAAAATGAGACAATGATGACAATAAGGAAAAAAGATCACCTGCCTGTATTTTCAAACCTGTCCGCTGCATCTTTTCCCTTTACATCGCAGATTGAAGGAAAGCAAAAAAGTCAGAGGGAAGAATCCCTTTCCCTACCTTTCCCAGTACATTCCTTGTGCTTTCCATGTTCTTTGGAATTGCTTTGTTCTTCAGCAAGGAAAAGCGCAACTTCCCTCTCAATTTCATGTTTCCATTTCTCCGATGTCTTTTTCATTCAAGAAGCAAGCGGAGGGGCTGCCTCCTGTGTTTCCTTGCCTCTTTCCTCGCTATTCTCTTTTCCTTTCTCTTCTCTCTTGGTGCTTACATTCTTATGAAAAACGTGAAAGTTGTGGGGGCATCCCTTTCGCTTTCTCTCTTCTGGGGAAATTCCCAATTGCAGGGGGCTCTCTCTCCTTGTTTGTCTTCTTTTCTCATACATAGGGAAAGGAGAAAGAAGATGAAGAACTAGGAAAGAATCATTTCCACACATTCCTCTATTCCTACTGTCCGGAGATTGGCAAGCTTTCGGAAGCTCTGGTCTCTAGTCACGCCTGACCAAAGTCAACTTCCCGTGCGTGAGGGCCATATGTGAGGGGCCAGGAGGGGGGCAGAAAGTCCGGAATATGGTAGTGTTTCGAGTTTCAAATTCGTTTCCATAGTTTCAA